AGGTGGGGTAGAGGAGGAGAATCCCCTCCCTCCCCTGCTGCTCACACTCCTTTGGATGCAGCCCAGGACTGGGTTGGTTCCTGGGCTGTGAGCTCTCACTAGCAGTTTGTTAAAGAGAATAGTTCAGAGGAAGGTACAGGATGTGGCAAAGCCTGATGTGACCTGATTTAATCATGTTGGGTGGCTGGTGCATTGCAGGGTTGGGACGTCCAGAAACACAACTGATCTGCTTCTCTTCCCCACGGGAATTTCATGTTCACTTGGGTCAGTGCTCTCCCAGGGCTGTTGGTCAGAGCCCAAGGGTTGTGAGGGGCTGATGGTTGAGTTGCTGGCAGATGGAAGGTGTGTACAACGGTCCTGCTTACCTGTTAATCATCACTTCTGCCCCTCTGAATCTTTCACCAGGAGCTGGAGGCTGCATTCCAGCCAGACACCAGTTTGGTTTCTGTAATGACTGTGAACAACGAGATAGGAGTAAAGCAGCCAATTCCTGACATCGGTAGGTATCCTGTGGCTTCCAGACAGTGGAGTCATCACTGTGCAGAAACTTAGATGTCTCATGCAACCATTTGTTCTTAAACTTCTTAGCAGTGGGTTTAGAACCAATCTCACTGCTTAACAGCAGAAGACACTTTAACTTCTCAACTGAAGAAATTCACTGTAGTCTTACCTGCCTAAATTTGTGTCACGGCGTCAGCCACAGTCCCTGCACGGCTTTAGGCTTTTCACTGTAACAGGAACTTCACAGCCCCCTTCTCTTCCTTTGTCACCTCATAACTGGTCCCTGCTGTTGTTTTAGACTCACTGGTGCTTTAGGTCCATTGTTGGCATTGCTGGGATCACAGCAATTAGTGCTAATGTGGTTTTGCTCTGGTGTTTCTGTTGCAGGTGAGATCTGCCGTGAGCATAAGGTTTTCTTCCACACGGACGCGGCACAGGCCATCGGCAAAATCCCCATGGATGTCAACGACATGAAAATTGATCTAATGAGCATCAGTGGTCATAAAATCTATGGGCCCAAAGGTACTCACTGCAGTGCTTTGTATAGAATTGTTTCCATGCCTACCTTAAGGTGACTACACAAGGTGTGGAGTCCAACCTGTTTGTCGTAGTGACGGTTACTTGAACTGTAGAAAGCTGTTCTGAGACTGCTGTTGGATGGACTTGGGAGTAGCTCAGGCACTGCTGCCAGCTTAGCGCTGAGGGACCTGAACCTTCAGTGCTCACAGGTTGGGGTGGCTGCACTGAAAGAAGAGGGGGTGTTATATAATGTTGGCAGCGTTAGAGCAGGGCCTTGGCAGGAGTCACCTGTGTGGTGTGAAGCAGCACTGCTGGTGAAAGGGTTGGAATGAAATCACTGGGTTATAGGGAAGAGTTTCCACCCAAGTGTAACTTGCAACGAGGGGACCAAAAGGTAACTGGAAGGTTTAAATTCTAAGTGATTTTGCTTGTTTTATACTTCCAATGGCCTCTTTCCCACAACTCTGTACATCTTCTTTGCAGAACGGGTTTCAAATCCAGCTATGGATTTTCTAGTTGACTCCCAAATACTGAAAGTCTGGCTCGGACTGTCACAGTCCATTTAGTTTGTACCAGTGGGTGTGGAAAGCCAGCAGTCAGGTTTGCTGTATTCTCTGTGCTATTCAGAAACAAAAGGCAAAATTGTTATTTTTCAATACTGCTGTTTCGTGCACAAGCTCTCCTGAGAGCTGAAGGCATTATCTCTGGACAAGGGCTAAGTTTTCGACCAGTGACTTTGGGCAGATGACAGACATAAATGTTCACAATTTATTATGACTGGAAATTCTAAGTGTTTCTTCTGTGGTGACAGTCACTCCTTAGGTGTGCTGGGACACAGGGAGGCATGAAAATGGGGTTTCTAGGTGAGAAGAGTAGAGAGTAGAATTGACAGACTGTCAAAATTGGCTCATCTAATCTGTTAGCTGTCACCGATGAGTCTCCCTAATGACAGGAAGGGACAGGACTCCTGGGACTGGTGTTGGCCTGGTAATCCAGGGAAAGACGTTGGAAGTCAATAAAGGGCCATCAGTGAATGAAATACCTTCACATAAAAACTTCAGTGCAAAGGGATGAACTTGAGCTGTGCACAGGAATTGTGGGAAGGAAGGGAAGGCCTGAGGCCTTGGGTGGCCAAAGCACAGTTGGAGAAGCTCTGGGAGCCTGAACATGAGCAGTGGGAACAAGCACCATTTCTGAGAAAATAATATGGTCCTGTACTTCTGTGTTAAGGGGTTGGAATGGAGCTTAGAGATCATCCAGCCCCAACCCCTGCCCTGGGCAGGGACACCTCCCACCAGAGCAGGTTGCTCAAGGCTTTAGCCAACCTGGCTGTGAACACTGCCAGGGCTGGGGCAGCCACAGCCTCCCTGGGCAACCTGGGACAGTGTCTCACCACCCTCACAGGGAAAACTTCTGCGTATGATCTAATCTCAGTTTCCCTCTTTCAGTTGCTCCCCATTGCTCCTTGTCCTGTCCCTGCAGTTCCTAACCAAGAGTCTCTGCAGCTTCCCTGGAGCCCCTCAGCTCCTGGCAGGTTGTTGTGAGTTATGTAGTTACTATCATTCACTACATTTTTCTCCAGTGAAGTGTCCAAATGTGTGTTTGCTGTGGAAATAAAGAATGTTTCCAAACCTTGTAGTTCCTCATTTCAGACCTGTGGGTGGGCACTAAAACACCCTCCCTTGTTTCCCAGGTGTCGGTGCTCTCTATGTTCGGCGCCGCCCACGTGTCAGGCTGGAGCCCCTGCAGAGTGGGGGAGGCCAGGAGAGAGGGCTGCGCTCTGGGACTGTGCCCACACCCCTGGCAGTGGGCCTGGGGGCAGCCTGCGAGGTGGCACAGCAGGAGATGGAGGTATGTGCAGGAAGATACTTCTTTTGGGTGTCAGAAAATAATATAACAGCGCCATTTAGGCCTTGGATTCCTTAGGTCTTTTTCTGTGCATGTGTCTGATTTGAATGTGATTCTCATGTTTTAACATTAAGTGAATGTTTTGAGATCTTCAAGGAGGTTTTTGGGTGACTGGAAGTTCTTTCTAAAGCATCTTTTTTCTTGAAATGGTTTGAATTGTGGTTTTCTACAACAGAGCTGCAGTTGATACTGTTAGTGAACTATGGCTTTGCTGCTTTTACTCACCTCTCCATTGTGCACATGTTAGCAGCACCTCTGACATGAAGTCATCTGTATGTGATGTGTATTGAAAAAATTAGACTTCCTAGTCTATTATACATATTAAGCGATACAAGTTCAGGTTTACTGCAGCCCTGCAACTAAGAATTCATATTCTTTTTTCTCACTTACACAGTAAAGTTTATTTGCTAGGTCTGGTGTCCGAGCCTCTCTCTGCTGCTACACTGGTTTGTGGGCCTTCCTTACAACTGGAAAGTAAAATTCCCTAAATACAGTTTCATAGTGTGTTCAGAGGTTGGAATGGAGCTTAGAGATCATCCAGCCCCAACCCCTGCTCTGGGCAGGGACACCTCCCACCAGAGCAGGTTGCTCAAGGCTTAATCCAGCCTGGCTGAGAACACTGCCAGGGCTGGGGCAGCCACAGCCTCCCTGGGCAACCTGGGCCAGTGTCTCACCACCCTCACAGCAAAAACTTCTTCCTGATACCTAATCTAATTTTCCCTCTTTCAGTTTATCCCCACTGCTCCTTGTCCTGTCCCTCCAGTTCCTACATGCTGGTCTCATGCACTACTTTTTTTCTTAGTGTGACTGGCCTCATATTTCAGGCTAGAAAAGACACTGCATGGTGACAGTTTCCATCACGCAGGTTAGGTGTTGTCAAAGCTGAGTTGACAGTAATTTGCAAGTCCATGTCTTAGTGGTGCAGTTGGAGAGCTCCTAGGAAGTAAGGGGCACTTCCCATGACAGGTGCCCTTTCTTGTGGTAAAAAATGCATTGTCTGGGCACTGGGGAGGTCACACCTCAGTGTTCTCACCTTTGGGCCCCTCACTACAAAAAGGCACTGAAATTAGGTGTTGTCAAAGCTGAGTTGACAGTAATTTGCAAGTCCATGTCTTAGTGGTGCAGTTGGAGAGCTCCTAGGAAGTAAGGGGCACTTCCCATGACAGGTGCCCTTTCTTGTGGTAAAAAATGCATTGTCTGGGCACTGGGGAGGTCACACCTCAGTGTTCTCACCTTTGGGCCCCTCACTACAAAAAGGCACTGAAACGAGTCCAGCCAAGGGCAAGGAGGGCAGGAAAGAGCACATGGGGAAGGACTGAGGGATGATCTCTCCTGCCATGGCTGCAGGGCGAGGACTGGAGGGAATGGCCTTGAGCTGAGACAGGGCAGAGGCAGAGGAGATGGTACGAAGAATTTCTTAACTGTCAGGGTGTTCAGGCACTGAGATAGGGAATTGCCCAGGGAGGTGGTGGAGTCACCATCCCTGGAGGTGTTTAAGAGGTGTCTGGATCTGGCACTGGAGGGTCTGGCTTAGGGTTTAGGGATTACAGCAGTGGCAGGGTTATGGTTGGACTCAGTCTTAGAGGTCTCCTCCAACCTTGATGATTCTATAATTCTATGATCTTAGGCATTGCGTAACTTGTCTTTAAACACAAATATCTCGGTGCTTTTATGAAAGGCAATTTGGAAGTTTGTTTATATATAGATCTTTCTGAATTTGGAACATTCTGAGCTTTGGAACATTTTTGCAGACTGAGCCAGCTAGGAGCCAAGTGGTTATTCTCTTTTAAACAGTCTCTAGAGGAGGCAAAGTTTAGCAGTTGAAGTTTCAGCTGTGTTCTTTCCCTCCTCTGGCCAAACCCAGCTACTTCAGTGTGCTCACAGCTGGTGACACAGCAGTCTGCATGAGGTCAGACTACACTGCATTATCTGGGTCTCTTTCCTGGTTTCTTTGCTAGTATGACCACAAGCGAATCTCACAGCTGGCAGAACGCCTGGTCTCAAAAATCATGAGTGAAGTTCCTGATGTGGTGATGAATGGAGACCGGGAGCATCGCTATCCAGGTGAGTCCTGCACCGTTCTGAGCCTGTTAGACCTGTCTGGCTATGGCTGAACAGTGCCCTTGAGCCACACATGGAGCCAGTCCTGCTATACAGAGGAGGATTTGCCTGAGATTTCTGTTGATGGATTTATTTTTTCTCTATTTCATTTATTTGTCTGTAGGATGCATCAATTTATCTTTTGCATATGTGGAAGGGGAGAGTCTTCTGATGGCTCTGAAAGATGTGGCTCTGTCTTCAGGAAGGTAGGTAGGATGTATGGGAAGGGTAGCAGTGTGTTTTGGAGAGAAAATGACATCTGCTAGAGAGGTAGAAGCTAAGGAGTCTCCTTGATGCCCTGTATTTGCATACTCAGTTAATGACTCAGCCTGGCATTGACTGCACTCTAAGGCGGTGTTTAAGTGACACTATGACTGAAGGTCAAATTTACTCATCCTGAAAGAGATAAAAACCCAACAAATAAACCCAAAACAAAACACAAAAAACCCACCCCAAAACCAAAAAAACCCAAACAAAATGTCCCCCACAATCCCCCCGAAACAACCTAAAATCCTTACCTGCCAGCCTTGCAGACTGGTCACTTGTGATCTGAGTAGCCTTGTCACTCTAAC